AAGAGGGGATTGTCAGCGTGGCAGGCTGAGGGCCTGTCCTTTATCTGCAGAGGAATGTACAGCAGTGGCTGTTGCCAGGTGTCAGAGAAGCTTCAGTGTTTCTGGAAGAGCCTGAGCCAGTGCTGAAGGAGGCACGGCTCAGCCCGAGGCAGCACGGAGCAGGGCTGTCCTGCAGGGTGTCCCTGCAGCACGCACCAAGTCCAACAGCAGCACCCTCTCCGTTCTCCTTTCTGCTTCTTGGCCCCAGGCTGGGGTGGGTTAGAGAGCCCTGAACTCGGGGTTTGCTCTCGTGAGAGCTGCAGACATCCATCAGGAGCAGCAGCTGTCCCCTGGACCCAAGGAGGACGAGCACTGAGCTCTCCAGGAGGGCTCCAGCCCCATTGTCTCAGAGCCAGGGTTGTTTCAGGGAGTGCACGGGTTCACTGATTGCTTTTGCCTGAAGACCACAGTGGAATTTGAGTCTTCTGAAAGCTGGGCAATAGAAAACCAGAGAAATGCATCTTTCACATCAACTTCAGGAATTAACACTTGTAGCTGAGCAGCTGCTGGACAGGCAGGGCAAGCTCTGTTCTGCAGAGGGGCTGTAGGCTGCTGCTGCTGAAATTTGAGCTATCTGCTGGTCTTTTTTTGCGGAAGACTCATTTTTGGTGGTGTTTCCATTTGAGTTTCCATCTTTAACCCTACTTTTCATTTCTCTGTTGGACAGAATGCAGCCAGTCAGAGTTCACTCTCGAAAAAGAGAAGTTGCTTTTGGTTTTAAAAAACGTATTTAGTCAAACCAGTGAAGCATGGCAGGCTGATAATGCCCTGGGACTGAGCTGTGGTTCCCTCTTTGTTCTCACCCAGCCCCTTCCCCAGCCTCATGGCACGAGCCTTCCCTGGTCCCTTCTCTGTCCCCAGGTCTTAGCTCAGCTCCCACTCAGCCTGGGGCCTCCAGGCCCCCAGCACTGTGCTGAAGGGAGTCACTGTCCTGCTGAGCTATTTCTGCCTATTTTCCCCTCACAACCCTTCTCCTTCTATCTCCTCACGCTGCCTCTACATGTGTTTGAGGCTGCTTTTGTGCACCAGTTGCAGTTTCCTTCCCCATGCCACCATTCTGCTGGTTTTACTTCCTCGCCCCCATCCCTCAGACTGAAGCAAATTTAGTTCTGTTCTTGTTCATGTCTGGTTTCATGAAAGTGACAGGAAGCACATCACCCCTGAGCTGTGTCTCTCTGGGATGGTGTGGATGGTGGGCTTGGCAGGACCCCCAGGCTCAGCCCCCTCCTGGGAGTGGGACCTGCAGGCTTTGGGCAGGTGCCACAGGTTGTTTTGGCAGCTGAATGCTTGCTGGTGGCACTGTGAGCCAAAGGGATGGACTTCTGTGGAATTTTCTGATATTTACTAACACAGAGTATTTAAATGTGATGGTTGCCTTTATTAAGGACTCAGAAGTTTGTTTTGTAGCTGCTCCTGGGCCTGGCTCTTTGAAAGGTGTTCCAGGAGCCCCGGGAGGAGTTTGCAGGTGCTGTGAGATACGTGGAAGTGACTCTGGCCTCTGGTTCTCGTTGCACAGGTACGCCTTGCTGAGGAAGTCAAAAGAAAGGCAAGCCCTGGACGGCCTCAATAACTTGAACTACTTTCCAAACGTCACATATGACGCCTTGTATAAGAACATCACTGTTAACCTGACACCGGAGCTGGCTCTGGTGACTGAATATTAAGAGCAGAAAATAACTTTGCTCTGCCCTCCACCAAGAGAGCACCACGCTAGACTTTCTTTTCCAAGGGTTATTGAGGACAAGCAACACTTTGTCTAATGAAGGATCACAGTATTGTGGAGAATGAGGCTGAAGGTGCACGCACAAATTGCCCTAGCTGTACCAATCCAGACCGATACCTGGGCAGCGAGCTCAGCAGTCTCTTTGTTTTTTCTGCCACTTGCTTTCTGGGTTTCAGGACAACAGTTCGACCTGCTGCTCTCGTCTCCACATTCCTCCTCTAGCAATCTCTGGCACTGGGACTCTCCTGGGATGTGCTTTCTCCTCCGGGAAGCGGCCCAGCTGAGGGACTCTGGCTTCTTGACAGTGAACGTCGTGAGCAATTTGGTTGGCGACTGCCCTGGTGGGAGATCAAACTATTTCTGATGCCATTCTTCTATGTCTGTGCAGTTTTTTAAATGACCTGCTTGAAGTACATACAACAGAATCGCTTCTTAAAGAAGTGTAAGTGTAAATATGCTGTGTAAATCGCCCCTTTTATTTTTCTCCTGTGGCTCAAGTCCAAGCGAGAGGTTTACATACGGTCACTCATTTTAGTCCTGAGTTCTGTAAACACTTGTGTGAGCATCACTGTACTTGTGCAAGGTGTTCCCTTGTAAGCCACTGAGACTGCTCTCATGATTCCAGCTGGGCATATGCAGAAATGTTTGTGGGCCAGGGCCCAGAGCCTTCCAGTGCAGGGGGTGAGAAATACAGCCGGGTCATCACTCATTCCAGAAACCACAGGGCTGGCTGGTTCCAGGGAGGGTGAGGAAATGGGAATATTTATTAAAAACCCTCCCTTTTCTGTCACTTTGGCCATGTGGTGTGCAGATGAGTCCCAAAGCCGTGTGGAAGGCAGCCCGTGGCTGTGGCTCTGTGTCCTGTCTCAGCGAGCCCGGGGGCCAGGATGGAGCCTCTGCTCCCACGTGAGCCCACCCCACACTGCAGCATTGCCCTGGCTCTGGAACGTGCTGGAGCGGTTTGGGAGGTTGGTTTAGCCTGTATTTATTGTGTAAATCCAGCAGCACAGAGGTGCTGTGCTCGGTACCTGGCAGCACTGGCACGGGCACAGCCGGTGGGACAGGGTCACAGCTCAGTGAGAGACATGAAGGACACCTGAAAATATGAGGACTGGGAGCCAGAGCTTGGTCTGACAGCCCGTCCAGCTATCCAGTGTCATCCCTCTTTTCTTCACAGCCGCCGTGGGCGGGCTGGACCTCAGGCCCTGTCCCCACGGACACAGTCCAGCCCTTGCACAGCACTGACACCACCACTTTCACTGGACCTCTCTGACTTCAAAGTAAATACATTGGGTGTTGGTCGTGGTTTGTATTTCCACACAACAAGGGCGGGTACTCAACCTCTGAAGGACTTTAACTCTTTTCATTGCATTGTTTGCCTTCAGTTTCCTTAACTTCTCATGGTTTACACTGTTTTCTCAGTTCCGTGGACGTATGATCCCCATACGCATCTGTGGTGGGTGTGACTGCCCAGGGCATTCCTAACCTGTATCCAGAAAACGTTAGTTTAGAAAACACGAGTTTGTGTAGATCTTATCAGCCGGCATGAGAGGACAGCGAGCCTGCCCTTGACAAGCGCTGATGAGTTTGTAACTAAGTTTTAAAGTCTCTGAACTTACATGTGCTTTAAACTCGCTTCCCGAGGGGATTCAGCCTGGTTATTTATAGGCAGAGGTGAGGATTTGTTTTTTCTGGCGCATACAGCAATAAAGACGTTTGCTTTGGAGTCTTGATCTGTAATTCACGTGGACCCTTTCTGGGTGTTGAACCCGCATTGCCCTGCCCCTCTTTTCTTTCATCTTGAGACCTTGCTAGAAACCTGTCTTTGTTTAATGGTGCTTCAAACAAGGAATGTATTTCAACTAGTCCAATTCACTACCCCGGAATCATGCATGTGTGTGTGAGTAAGTGTTGAACTACCTTAGTTGGGATCCTCCGCCTTCCATGTCCCTGACACCCGGCGCACCTGGTGTGGAACAAAAGCCGTTACCTCTGCTCAGAACTGCACTCTGCGGTTGGCACAGAAGGGTCCATCCCCAGCAGCATCCCATCCTTCGTTCTAACCATGTTGAATTTTTTTTTCCCCTTTTTAAAATGTGGATTATCTGAAAATGTGCACTGTTAATCTTATCAGCTATGTCAAATACTGTATAGTAAATGTAACTGTTAAAAACATACTGTCAAGCGCATGTGCTGTTATGGTGTAAAAACTCTTGTATTAAGGAGAACTTGTACATATTCTGGCAGCTGAAGTTCGACAAGGCCACTCGTTTGCCCCTTCCACGTCAGTGCCGTCAGTCAGTCCTGCTGGAGGGCAGGTCCTGTGCGATGCTGATTTATTTTTTTTTAGATGAGCCATGTGGGTTTTATTTGCAAAACTATTTATTGACAGTCAATTCTCCGTAAAGCTCTGCTTCTCTAAGGGAGGTACCGTCTGAGCATCGGCCGCGCACTTCAGGCCCCTCACCATCAGAAATGGCTTTAAACTCTCAAGCAGCTTTCCATCATCATGGCTTTTGAGCTTACTGTTATGTTTTTAAGAGGTGCCAGGGGGACGTTTTTGCACTGAAGATTAGTGTTTTACAACACACACACACTTCTCAGCAAAGCAATCCTTTGTGTCATTACATTTATTTACCCATGTGTTTGTACATTTTTGTATTTGTTAATTTATGAATGATTTTTTCAGTAAAAAATACATATCCAAGAACAGAGATTGCAGTGCTTTGTTTTTTTTTTTTTTAACAGGAGACTGGGGTGTGCTTTTTAAGTAGGAGGTGAGGGGTAAGTGCCTATGAGAATTTGAGTCAGTAGTCAGTAAGGGTGAGCCCTTGATGCTCAAAGCCGGCTAGAAATTTCTCATTAGTACTGGACAGAAATAAACTGTGTGTGACATGTGGATGCTCCCCAAACTCTTCCTGATGTGTTGGTGCCTAAGCCTTTTTTCCAAGCATCTGCTTCAGTGTAGTTCTGATGGAGGGGTTGGCTGCTTAGGGTGTTAGGAAGGCACTTGGCTGAAGGTGGTGCAGGACTGGTGGTGGGAACCGTTGGTAATTGAATTTTTGAACAACAAACCCAGGCAGACAGACAAGCTTCCTTGCAGCAGCTTTAAAATATCTTTCTCCTGCTCTGCAGCATACAGGCATGCTAGAATAAATAGCTGCAGCCCTGGGTTGCTCCAAGCCTTGCCTTTTTTTAGCTCTCCATCTTCTGGGAAGCTTCTTCCCACCCGCGGCGCTGGAGCCTGGGGGTGACAGGCTCTTCCAGCCCCTGCCGCTGCCTGCCCAGGCGGCCTGGCTGCCCCAGCGCCCGCAGGAGGGAGGGTGGGAGCCCGTGGGGCTCCTGCTCCTGCCGCGATGGGAGTTCCTGACCCGCCTGGGCAATGCCCGTGGTCCTCCAGGGGTACCCAGCTGCGGGGTCTGTGCAGCGTGACCCCCACACGGGGGCAGGGGCTGGGGGGGATGGATGCCCCTGGAGATGGGGGGGATGGATGCCCCTAGGATGCCCCTATACGGGAACGACGAGAGGGCAGGGAAAGCCCAGCCCGTCCCGTGGGAAATGCAGCCTGCAGCAGGGCCGAGGGGTGGCTGCGGGGCTGCGCTGGGGCCACCGGCTCTAGCGACACTCCCGGGTCGGCACTGCCCGGCCCGGCCCCGCCGGGACACAGCAGGGCACGGTGTGTGCGGAGCCTGCCGAGCCCTGTCCGCCTCGCTGCCCGAACGGAGCCGTTCGGTGCCTGATGGGCCCCGCTCCGCACGAGGGGTGCGCTGAGGCTGCCGGGCCGCAGCTGGCGACAGGCCGGGGAGCTGGGGCAGAAAGAGCTCAGCCCCAAACCGCCCGGGCCCCTCACAGCCCCAACCCTCAGCTCAACAAGGGGGCTCAGCCCCGCAGGTGGGATGGGGGTTCGGTGCGACCGGGACCGGGCACTCGGCAGCGGGGCTGGGCCGGGCTTTGGGGCCGGGCTTCGGGGCCGGGCTTCGGGACCGGGCTTTAGGGCCGGGCTTTGGGGCTGGGCCGGGCTTTGGGGCCGGGCTTTGGGGCCGGGCTTTGGGGCCGGGCTTTGGGGCCGGGTTTTGGGGCCGGGCTTTGGGGCCGGGCCGGGCTTTAGGGCCGGGCTTTGGGGCCGGGCTTTGGGGCCGGGTTTTGGGGCCGGGCCGGGTTTTGGGGCCGGGCTTTGGGGCCGGGCCGGGCTTTGGGGCCGGGCTTTGGGGCCGGGCTTTGGGGCCGGGCTTTGGGGCCGGGTTTTGGGGCCGGGCTTTGGGGCCGGGCTTTGGGGCCGGGTTTTGGGGCCGGGTTTTGGGGCCGGGCTTTAGGACCGGGCCGGGTTTTGGGGCCGGGCTTTAGGACCGGGCTTTGGGGCCGGGCTTTGGGGCCGGGCCGGGCCGCTGGCCGCGCGCGCTCCCACAGCGCCCTCTGGCGGCGCCGGGAGGAGCGGCCCCGGCCCGGCTGCGGGGCTGCCGCGCGTGTCCGGCCCCGCGTCCCCGTGTCCCCACTGCGGGACTGTCTCTGTTGGGAGTTATGTGTCTCTTGGAAAATCCAGGTGACTTGAAGGCTTAACTCACATGTCCCTGCTCCCAAGCCCTGTGCAAGCCAGTGGCAGCAGCTGATCCCCTGGAAGCATCTCCCGTGTCTCACCAGGTGCAGTTTAGGATGTAGTGAATTTTTAAACTTGATCCTGCAGACCTTTCAAGTTCTCTCTCCTCCTGAGAATCTTCAGTCCATGTTTTTCTTCCATATCCACTGCAATGTCTGCCTGTGGTTTATGTCGTCGGACTCCCGCTGCCCTCGTGAATCTGCCATGTGGGAGCTGGATGATGTGAATGAGTTCTTTGGGTTTTTCCTGTTCTTATTTGGTAAACTTGGGTTCATGTTCTGGGAAACTCATCCCAGTGCTCTACACGGTCTGTGGATATAAATCTGCTCTGAACTCATGCCTACTGCCAACATTTTTCAAACCAGATACTGAACAAGAGAGGGTTTTAGTTAACATAAACCAGAGGCAATTTATGATGACAAAGTATTGCAAGATGTGTGAGGGAAGAGACAAGCTGCTGAAATGTTTGGCTAAAGTGAAGTGAAGAAGTGGAATGTTTTTCTTTGTTCAGTGGCGTCCCCAAGGCCGCTCGGGCAGGGTGAGGAGGCTGCACATCCCCAGCTGCCTCTGCTGGTGCTTTGGGAGCAGGATGGAGACCGACTCTGCCCGGCAGCCCTTGGCAGGGCGTGCTGGGTACAGCTGCTGTTTTGTTGCTGGCTTTGGGGGCTTTGTTCTCTTTTCCTTTAAGATACCTTGAGAATGGATGTTTCTCCCGAGGTGTATCGAGCAGTGCAGAGCCCTCAGAGTGGCTGCTGCTCGGGCAGGCTGTGCAGACGCACCGAGCCTTGCTTTCCTGGCTGCTTTCCACTGGCCAAGGACAATTGTTTCTCCTGCTGGGACTTGAGGGAGTTGAACTTGGAGATGGACTTGGTGGAGATGATCGCTGAGGAGCCCAGGCTCTGAGGGGAGCTCAGCTCTCAGACATCACAGGGTTTGAGATTAGCGTGGTCTAATGCACAGAGGTATTTAAAAGCTCTCTGCCATTTTAGAGAAGTGGAGCAGTGTGGGGGTTAACGGGGAGTCTCGGCTGTTCCAGGTGGGCATTAGCCTTTCCCTCTCTCCCCTGGCACTGCTGGGACGGGCTGCGGCCGCCCCAGGGGCTCTGCCCACGTCCCTCCGGCTCCCTCCGGGCTTCGTGTCCGAGCTGTGGAGCCTGGCCTGGGCAAACCTGCTGCAAGCTGGCTGCAGCAGGACTTCATGTCCTCACCCGAATTTTGGCTTCTGTTTGCATGCAGGGGAGAAGGGAGCGTCTCTGGAAAGTTCCATCTGAAAAGCCAGAGCAGCAAAGCAGCTGGGAGACCCTTCAACATCCACTGCTCAGGGCTGGGGGTCCTGCTGCACTGTCCTTGCCTGGGCCAGACCCAGACCCCACAAACCAGCTGAGGCTCTCCACCGAGCCGGAGATCTGGGAAAGGAGCGAGAGGACGCTTGCCTGCAGGCTTATTAGCAAGAAAGCAATTAAACCCTTAAAAGAAACCGTCTGCACTCGGGCTGTCCACCTTCATAACATCCCTGTTTGCTGGGGAGAACCTGTTTGAACTGGTGCTGGGGCAGGCTGGTTCTGCATCGCATTGGCTGTCCAGCTCTTCATTCTCTTCTGTTTAACCTCAGCAAATGCTTCTTCCCTGTGCTGCACAGGGGATGAAAACACCCTCCATCACAAGGCATTCCTTGCTTATTTGCAGTCCTGAGGTTTGCTGGGTGTGATCTAGAGAGAGATAACAGCTGCTTTATTCTTTCTGATACATGACCAAGTCAGCTTGTTTCCAACATGAATGATTAAAAACCCACGTGCATTTGTAATGACCATATTCTAATTAAAAAGCAACCCCCTCTTCAAAAATTTGGGCAGCTATAGTGGCATTGTGCTAACCAAAAATTAATTAATTATTTATATGAAATGTTCTGGTCTTTAAATTACTTGGGTTTAATGTACTGCAAAGGCACTTGTATCAATAACAGGGCTATTTTGCTTCCACTTAATCATCACAATTTTATTTATTTATTTATCACCAAGAACAAAAATACCCAAGCTGGTCCATCTGATACTTTGCTGCACCGCTGATGGGCTGCTTTTCCTCCAGCCTTGCATTGCAGCAGCTGTGGTCTTGCAGTCAAGAGGTTCTTTCACAGCCCCCTGAAGGCCTTGGTGCCATGTGTGAGCCAGGACGGGGCTTTGTCACCACGTGGTGTTGTCACCCACCCATGGGCCGCCCTGTGGGCTCTGCTCACTCCAGCTGCTCACCTCTGAATAACTCTGGGTCCTCTCAGGTGTTATTTTTAGGGTAATGTAGGCCTGGTGTTCTTCTGGCTTCTCCCATTTCTCTCGAGTTCCCCTCAGCCATGGCAGCAGTTCAAGGTGAGTTGGGAGTGACTGAAGCAGAGGACATGCTGCACAGCTGATGTGTGGGTGTAGCTGGATGATGCAGCGGTTCTGGGCTGGTGCTCCTCTTCTGCCTCTTTTGGTTACCAGCAACTCTTCATTTTCTCTTTTTTTCAATTATCAATTTTTTTTTTTTTTAATATTTGCCATTCAAGTCAGTTGGGATTCAAGCTGCCCTGCTGCTCAGCAGCCACCCCATGGGGGCTGACTGGCATGTTGGTGTGAATGTGCTGTTAATTCCAGAACAGGCAAGAGAGTTTAGCAGCAGCAGCTTTGGAAATGAGGAACTGATGGGCTGCAGGAAGGTGTTGTTGCATAACTGCCATTTCTAAGAGGGAGGTCAACAGACTAATAACAGGATTTGCTAGTTAGAGGTAAAGGAGAATCCCTGAGAAGAAGTGGAGCAGAGACCCCTTGAGTGCTGCTGCTGGGACACTGAGCTCCCAGGCTGGTGTGGCCAGGCTGAGAACTGCTGAGTGTGTGACATGAGGTGGGCCCAGGGGACCCTGAAAACCTCTGAACCACCAGCCCTAATTCTGGTCACTGCAACCAAGATGACTCCTGCTGCTCCAGGTGGCTGCTGGGGTGTGTAACTGCAATGCACACGTGAGGTTCTCACAGAACAGCCACAGCGTGGCAGGAAGGGAGATGGAGGTGTACCCTAATCCATCCTCCTGTACCAAGCCTGGATCAATATGTCTAGACCATCCTGACAGGTGCTTATAAGGATCATTTTCTTGAAAGGCCAGTGATGTCTCCACTCCCTATTCTCCTTGCACACGCTACCCCAGGACTTTATCTGTTTTTCCCCACAGTCATCCTAATGCTCCCATCCTGCTATATTTTGTCCAGTTCCCAGCAGAGAAGGAACACAAACCATTGCTCTCTTCTACAGAAGCCTTTTATGAATGGAAAAGTGTTACCCCATCTCTGCTCTGCCTTCTGTTTCCATGAGCTGACCATTTTCCTCCACCTCTCCTCAGAGGCTGTTTTCTACATCTCTGGTCACTCCTTTTGCTGCCCTCTGCTCTCTCTCAGCGGGGCCTGACGTCCTTGATGAGCAGTGCCCAAACTTGGATGCAGGACTCCAGCCGAGGCTGTGGTAGCAGGGCATGTGTCTCACACACAGCTTTTCTGTTTATGAATTCCAGCATGATAGCTGCAAAAAAAAAGCAAACAATGTCCTGGTAGCCCTTGAGATTTGGCCACGGTGGAGATGAGAACCATATAAGTACATAGATGGATGTGTGGATGAAATGCAGACTTTCAGCAGTCAGACAAAGGAAACCGAGCTTGGGGAAGCAGCCCCCGCTGGCTGCTGGTGTTTGTGAGGGTCTGTCCTGCTGAGCAGCGGGAGGAGGGTCATTCCCAGCCCGCAGGACACTCCCCAGGACACACAGCAGCCCTGTGACCGACCCTGGGGACACAGCACTGGGTTTGCCACGCTGGGGGCTCCCAGTGCCTGTGGGCCCCAGGAGCTGAGAGGGTCTGAGCCTTTCTGCTGCTGGAGCTGGGCTGCGGTGCCTGCAGGCCCAGGCGGGCATGAAAGCCGTTCCCATTTGCTCTCCGTTCCCGCAGGAACAGGCTCTCTGTGCGGAGATGAGCTGCACATTCCCCCTCCCCTGCAGCCCAGGCGATAGCAGGAGGCTCTGCGTGATGCAGAGTTGGGCTCTGCAGAGGATGGCGGGGAGGCGTCGCAGGAGCCCGCGGTGGTGGCTGGAATTCCTGTTGCCATATCAACCCAGCGCAGCCTTAAATATAGCGCCGGTTTCACCCCGGACCCGCTCGGTCCTTCCCTTCCCTCCGCGGCGCGGAGCAGAACGAGCGGCTGTGTGTGCTCTGCTCGCTGCAGAGCCCCGCCGGGCAGAGCTGCGGCACCGGCAGCCGCGGCTGGGCTGGGGTCTGTGCTGCCCCGGCCCTGGGGGCTCTGCTCCGTTCCAGCTCGGGAGTGGGGAGCCCGAACTCTGCTTTGGCCCAGCCGACATCCCGGGCAGGCGGGGAGGAGAGAAGAGATCCCCTGGAGGAGTGGAAAACATTTCACTGCTGGAGCAGCTGTGCCCGTGGGGTGGGAGGGTACCGAGTGCAGCGGGCACAGTGCAGCTCTCCTGGCAGGGATGGTCCCAAATCCAGCCCGGAGATGGTCCTGAATCCAGCCCGGGGACGGTCCCAAATCCAGCCCAGGGATGGTCCCAAATCCAGCCTGGGGACGGTCCCAAATCCAGCCTGGGGATGGTCCCAAATCCAGCCCGGGGATGGTCCCAAATCCAGCCCGGGGACGGTCCCAAATCCAGCCCGGGGATGGTCCCAAATCCAGCCCGGGGACGGTCCCAAATCCAGCCCGGGGACGGTCCCAAATCCAGCCTGGGGATGGTCCCAAATCCAGCCCAGGGATGGTCCCAAATCCAGCCCAGAGATGGTCCCAAATCCACCCCAGGGATGGTCCTGAATCCAGCCTGGGGATGGTCCCAAATCCAGCCCAGAGACGGTCCCAAATCCAGCCCAGAGATGGTCCCAAATCCAGCCTGGGGATGGTCCCAAATCCAGCCTGGGGATGGTCCCAAATCCAGCCCAGAGATGGTCCCAAATCCAGCCCAGGGATGGTCCCAAATCCAGCCTGGGGATGGTCCCAAATCCAGCCCAGAGATGGTCCCAAATCCAGCCCAGGGATGGTCCCAAATCCAGCCCAGAGATGGTCCCAAATCCAGCCCAGGGATGGTCCCAAATCTAGTTGAAGTCCCTTAGCCTGAGAGAAAGGTCATCACATGGAAAATTTACCGTGTGCCTTTGGTATCTCCAGTGTGTGATTACACTGCAAAACCATCTGTTATGTTTGTGTTTCTTGCCCAGCAAATTGTGTAGATGCTTTTAGGAGTTTTTGTTTATCTATTTAATTAAAAATTGGGTGCTATACCATGGATCAGGAAAAACCCTAAACTGCAGGAATTATTTATTGTTGCAATACAGTGGGAGATCTCCCAGAATCCTGGTTCTACTCTGTTGGTTTCATTAGGGTGGTGTAGTTGAAGTAATTTCACTCTGTTAGTTTGTAAGAAGGATACTTTGATTGCAAGACAAAACTGCTGGTTGGTATGAAATGCTAAAATTAAGGTTTTCTCATAAAATCCTAATTCCTCTCCCTTGTTAATCTACAGAGAAGTGCACCCAGCAAATGTCAGAGGAAACCCTTTTTCTTTACCATCTCCAATAACATCTTATCCCTCTCAATATTGTGCAATTTTCTCCTGGTTGAGTCATTGAAAGTAGCTAACTTTCCTGAAATGGCCTTTCATTCCTTCTAGAGACCAACAAATGGTGGAAAATTCCAACCTGAGCTTTTTTAGCTTTGGCAAAGGTACAAGTAACTGAATATGGAACAACCTGGGCAGGTCAGGCAGGTGCCCCCCAGCGCAGCAATAGGAGGCAGCTCTCCTGCACCGACTCCTTTATCCCCTCAGAGGCATTTTCCGTCTGTTGACCTCTTCTGAACTAGATTTGAAAGACATTAGGTCATAAATCTTGGGGTTTAAGAAGCAAAGATAACACTTTGGGATATCACAGCCCAAAACAGGACATCAGGGTTCAATATCAATTGAACATTGAGTAAAACAGCAAGGACTTGCTTTCCATCACCTGGCTGTCATCTTCCACCTCCCTCTTTCTTGAGAATTTTCACTTTTTAACCCAACCAACGCACTGACCGGTGCATTGGGGTGATGAATTGGTAGAAGTTGTACTCCAGCCCACCCGTGTTCTATCAGTTTTGTACCTGTGGGATTGCAGCTGTGAGGCTGTGTCTGAGGTCTGGGGGGCTGTGTGTGCTCTGCAGCCATTCCCAGGAGCTGAGCACCGGGGCTCATCCTGGAGATGTGTTCCAAGGGAGCACGACTGTCAGAATCTAAAGGGATTGCAATGGATCCATTCCAGTGCCCCAGAGGCAGGAGGGCCGGGGGTCCCTGGGTGTGCTGATGGGTGTGGAGGTGCCTCCTGCAGGGCTGCAAGGTTCCTCTCCTGTGCCTGCAGCTCTCCAGTGCTCAGTGCTGACACGGCTGCTGCTCTTTGAGAGAGCGGGGCTCCTTCAATCACTGAATTCAACCCTGCAAACTGTGACCCGGCTACAGGATTTGTTCCTATCTACAAAGTCACCCCCTAAATGTACTTCAGTCCATCTTAGGCCTGGAGCATCACATTTCTCCTGATTAAGCAAATGATTGGGAGGTTTGGTTTCAAATTGCACTGCAAAGACTTGTAAAGCAAACCACTGAAGTTCCTGGGTGGCTCCCCAGACAATGCTGATTGTTTGTTCTTGTTCCCATCCTAATTAAACTTTTTTCCCACAGGGAAACTCTAGTTTTAGTCAATTTTTTTTTTTTTCAAAATTGAAGTGTTCATTTTTTTGTTTACTAAATTGAAATCCACAAAGACAGATGGTTTAAGAACAGATACTGAGACCTGTTCACGTTGTTGAGTCTGACTTTCAACGATGCATCTTCATTGAATTCCCTTGTCTGCAGGAGTTCTGGGGGCTGTTAGCTGC